TGATGTCAGAATAATGTGCTAAACCTGTTTTACAGATCTCTTTTTTTTTTTTTTTTACTTTATTTACACCATATAAAGAAACCATGGAATATGTTTGGTTTGGTTTAAAGAACTTTGGTATCATATTTTTATCCCACAGTACCTAATATATTCATACTACTGATGTTCAGTCATTGTTGAATGAATTAACCAGCTTGACAGAAGACTAATGAATATATACTTCACGTGAATGATTGAAATCCTTAATATTCTAGAAAATGTTTCCATTTTTCAGTTCAGTGTATATCATGATTCCATAAATCATGTAAATATATGTACAGACATATTTTCTCCCTGTATATTGATGCATGTATAAAACACTTTGACCTGGAAGAAAGTTAGTTTCACAAAGGTCACTTGTCTAGCATCTGTTCATTTGCTCTATCTCTATTGAGAGTTGATAAAACTTTTAAGATACTTACAAAAATAACTTTGTTGTAAATTTTCAAGCAATCACAGGAGCTTTATAATTTCTGTTAGTGATAACATGAGTAACTTTTCTAGTTAGAACAAAAGTGAAAGTTAAAACATTGCCAAGAAAACATTGACCAACGTATAGCCTGCGTATGTGGCATTTTTGCAGCTACAAAGACCTTGTGGCTCTGCCCTCTTGGCCTACTGGCCAGATTTCAGAAGAAACTGAATTAAAGCATCTAGAAAAATAGTCCACTTTTAAGCTCTAAATGCTAGGTTTGGCAGGTGTTGTCTCAAGTTAAATGGGCTTCAAGGCATTGGACCAGTTTCACTGGACTTTCTCTTTTATTCTCTCTGTGAATTCAGATATGTTTACAGTGTAGTACCCTAAGTCTTGATCGTCTCTCCTGTTTTCAAGCCTTTACATAAACTACATCCTGTAGTTTTCCCATTTTCCCAAGCCTTTTCCTTTTTTTCCCTAATGCTCTTGACCTTTTAACCTCTTTGAAACTTGCAGCCAGAGAACACACCTACCCCCACCCAACCTTCCCTTTTCACTCTGCCTAATCCTTCGCTTGTGAACAGTGTTACTCTTACTCTGTGTATATTATTGCTTAATGTTGGCACATTTGTCTTTTCACTTTATGTCTGTATCACAGTGTGGTCTCTTGCCCTTTGAGGGCAGGGACCATAACTTTTGACTTACGGTGTTGATAGATTCTTAGGTACAATAGTTAATGGCTGTTGGTAGGATATAAAATTCACTGGGATTTTAAAGCTAATCAAAGATAGTTTGAACCCTTTTGTAAATTATTTGCAAAATGAACAGATTCTTTTTTTTTACTGATACCTATACTATAAAAAAATGGACTGGTCTCAGAATTGATGACCTATTAATAAAATGCTACAGATAAATTTGAAAAATATTTATTGGAGGAAGAGAAAAGGGCATTTGGTAGCAAATCAAGTAAGCTTTGTTTTCCTAGGGTATTTGATTAGAATTGTGCAAAAATTTTAATATTATGCTTCTTCTAACTGTTATTTGCTGCTCAAAAATAACTGTTGGCGGATTTTTCTGTACCCCTCTATCTTTCCCTGGCTTATGTCTGTTAACAGTGCATTCTGATTACATATCCCAAGCATGCTCCTTTTATATGTCGTTATCTAATGTGATGTGGGAAAAACTGTGTTTATTTTTTTGAAAGTTGCCCACTGTTTATTATGTTATGACTGCAAGACTCTTCTGCACAAAAGCTTTTTGGGTCTTAAGATCAAATTTCAAAACTAGAAGTGCTTTGTGTCCCCCTAAGTGGAAAGAATTTATAAGGTATTTACAGCATTCAAACATTCTTAAGGAGTTTTATTTTTAAATGATGGCTAATTCTACTGCATTAGAAGCATTAATATTTATTTGATATGTGTTGAATTAAAAAAATATATTCCTTAAATATACTTTAATAATCTTCAATTTAGTCTCAAATGTCATTTAATGCTTTTGAGTAAAACTCAGTGGTATTCCAAAGGTAGAAGTGAGTTTAATGCTACCTATCAATTTCCAAATAATACTTAATTTTTAATCACTAGTACTAAATTAGTAAGCCTTTTAAAATATAAAGTTTTCTTGTAATCACTTTACCTAATTGAATATCTCATTTTTAGCAAATCCTTTGTTTCTTTCATCTTTTTCTGTTTTTCTTAGTTTGTTTCATACATCTTTTATATAACAGATCCAAACTGCTTTGTGTTGAAGGAAGAAGCTGCATGATGTAGGAGAAATTTTGTGTGTGATGAATTTAACCTCGTTTATGTCTCTCCCTACACAGTCCCTTCAATCTGAATATGTTCATTACTAAGGCCTTGCCACTCCGGTGAAAGCTGTTCCACTCTTACACGCAGTTTCCTCATCTGGATGAGCAATGTAGAGAGAAAACAACTGCTTGCCGGAAGAATATCTCTGCCTTTTTACCTTAAGTTAAAGACAGCACTCAGATAAGACCTTCATGAGACTTGAAACCAGAAAACTCTGGTTAATGACTACTCTAAATGCACTGAAACTATGTTTATGGAGATGTCAACTTTTTAAGACAGTTTTCATGTTGAATTTGGTATTTTGGAAGGTTATTTTTAATGTACTTCGGTAATACATTCGTTATTACATTTACATGTACAGTGTTACATTATGTATGTATTGTGAACTTTAAAAGACTATTTTGATAAATTTATAAATACATAAAATTATGTAAAAACTAGACTATATTTTGACTTAGATTTTCTTGCTGTTTCCTACCAAAAATTTGTATTTTGAATTTGTTTAGTGTGTTTTATCTACAATGAATAAATAATTCCTCTTTATTAAGAAAAAGTAAAGGAGAAAGTTTTTAGAAAGTGATTTGTATGTTTCCACTACGAATATGGCAGATCAGTTCATTCTTTTGGGAAGTCAGTCTAGCTTAAGTTTATCCAGGTTTATCTCTTAGCAAAAGTACAGTTGTTTGATACAGCTTATTGAGATCATTTCTTTTCCCTTTGTTTTTGTTGCTGAGCCATTTAGTTTTGCATCTTTGGAGGTTTAAGAAAATTTAACGTCCAGTTGAAGATCAAAATTCACTGAATGTTTTTCCTTGAAAGCATAGTTTTTCTCTATGAAATGACTCAACAGTCCAAATGCTTTTACTTCTTTCCTTCTCACAAAAGAATTCTTAGTCAAATTAGAATATTCTGATTTTGGTACGAGGTTTTTGCCTGTATTCACACATGGTCTGGCAAGTTTTAAATCAGCAAAGAGGATTCAAAGGATGCTGCTAAGTAGTTTTCTGTATTAATAAAGGAAACAAGTTTAAGACAGATCACAAAACCCCTGGCACACAAGCTAGCAAATCTGAAACCTAACATGAAAATGAAGGGACTCCTAGGTACTTTACAGTCCTTTCACTTAAGTGTAATCTTATATTTAGGGTCCAGAAGCCTGTAAACCTTTTTTTCATGGGGAGTTGGGGAGTATTAGATCCTCATTATCTTCCATGCTGCTTAAGAATGGACTACTCAGGCAGTCCAGTGGATTCATATGAAGTGCTTTACTCTCAACCATTGAGTTATTTATCAGGTATTTATTAGAAGGGGGTACCTTGAGGCTGTTATACATGCTTCAACAAAACATCTTGTTTATGTCTTACTTTTTTAAAAAGGCATTTGAATGAATGTTTGACTCAGGTTTGTTAACCTTCAAAAACTGCAGTACCAAATAATTGCACTAAACTGATGAAAAAAAATGAATTGTATGTTTTAGGAATCAAAAATTAAGTGGAATTAAATTGTATACCTTTTCTAAAGCTAAAATAGTAAAATATTTTGTTATGAGTTATTGTAAAAAATGATCAGTTAATTGTATAGGAAAATAGTATTTTTTCAAAATTATCAGTGAAAAGTAATTCAGATGATATTTGAGAAGTAGGGAAAAGGGAACCATATAGACAGTTTTAGTTCTGTGAACACTAATTGTGTGCAGCTACTAAATGATTGTAAAATTGACTACTGTAAATTTTCCATAATTATATGTGTATATTAGTCATATGTATCTACATGGGTATGTCTTAAAATTATTTATACACATGTACATACATAGACAAATAAGAATATGTGTATAATATAGAAAGTATATAGCAAAGTGATTCTACTCCAATAATAAAGATTGACATGTATTTTGTTATGAATAGTTTACCTTTGAAAAGATATTTTGTTCTATTTTAAGGTGTAGAAGAATACACTGCTAATAAATAATAAAAGTTTTATGCAATTTACATTCTCCCTGTTTTTTGTCATTTGGATTTGGAGTATCAATGTACTGAAGTATCTTTATAATTTTACATTTAATTCACTCTACATTTAATTCACTTTTGAGTTTCTAAAAATCTCTGTTCCAGATTTTTATTGACTTTCCAGGTTGTGGCCATTCCTGAATTATGTGACAGTGAGCACAAAGAAATCTTATACTTTGAATTTCACAAGAGTCAGATAATATCCAGCCTTGTATATATAATTTTCCTTTTTGTTAATAAAACACTGTTCATTATCAGTGTTTTGGGCTTGCTTGATCATTTATGACTACTGGTCATAGGCTTCACAGGTGGCTTAGTGGTAAAGAATCTGCATACCAACGCAGGAGACGCGGGTTCTATCCCTGGGTTGGAAAGATCCCCTGGAGGAGGAGATGGCAACCCACTCCGGTATTGTTGCCTGGAAAATATCATGGACAGAGGAGCCTGGCTGGTTACAGCCAATGGGGTCACACAGAGTCAGACACGACTGAGCACGCATGCACAGAACCACTGTGCAAAGCTGGTCCTGTACTCCTGAGCAACAGGAATTGCGAAATAATCAATGTTTATCAATCATTATGTTTCTTTTGAGAAAGAATAGCTGTTTTTCTTAAGGGAGAAATTATAGAAATAAATCAGATATCACACACCTAGCCACTGTTGGGTCTATGCCCTGAAGAGCTGGCTTGGGAGGAAGAAGTTGCATTCTTTTTACTGGAGATATTTTATGTATTAAACTGAATCTCTTTGGGTTGTGATGTTCCTGACGTTTTTCACCTTTCTTTTATCTTCTAAAATTTTTCAGAACACATAGGAATGGTTGTGGGTGGGAAGATAGTTTCACTTCTTGAGTTGGGAATCTGCCAATTAGCTGTTCTCACAACACTGCCTGAGACATCTAGTTGGGGTACCAAGGTTGTCATGAGCCCACATCTGAGAGAAGGAGATTTCTTCTGAATTCATGAACTTGTCTAGAAGGGCAGAAAGTCTTTTTCTACAGATATAGTGCCTATGGAAAAAAAGTAGTAGAAAAAAATCAACTGATTCTAGCAGATTTCTCACCTATTGAAATCTTGAATTCACGTGGTTTTGTTACCTTAGATATCAAATGATTTCTAAATCTCAAAATACACCTGGAGAGGCTACCCTGTTATGGATTTGGCTGTGATTTACATAACAATAGGAACAAATTGTATTTTCAAGATTGTTCTCATTTGTATGCTTTCCTTGGTGACGTGTTAAACCAACACTATGTTAAAAAGTTTCTACTCTTTTCTTTGGGAGGAAGAAGCTCAGTGTGTAAGCTGAACAGTACCCTGTGGTGTTTCATGTCATGTAAGAAGCCTGATCTTTCCCCAAGTGCCCTCGTAAGGCAGAGTTGATGCCAGTGAAAGCTTTGCAGTGCTCTTGGCAACACTGGGCAAAGCAAGAATTTGCTCACTGCCTGTCTCCTGAGAAGATTAATTAGAGGGGTATCTAATTACAGCAGGATACAATTTACAGCATAAGAGAAAATTTTTTATTTACACATAGGTTGCATAGAGGTGGCACCCATGGCAGAAAAAGGAAAGTAGAAAATAATTGCATTATTTTGAGCTGGGTTGAAATGTTAATTTATTCCCACCCAGTTCCTTCTCTATGGATGGAATTATGATAATCATCTCAAGAAGGAGAAAAATAGATTTTCTAGAGAATTTAAAACTTTTTTTTTGGTTAGTGCAAGTAGAAACATATCGGAAGATTGCTTTTAATGCAAAATTCAGTTATTTAGAATTGGTTTTAATGGATGAACATAAATTATTTGATCTTTTCACTCACCATGACTTACTTTAACATAAATCAGTTGACCTTTTCACTCACCATGTCTTGCTTTAAGTTAAATACCACCAAAAAGAAGATGACTTTCATCATCACTTGCTATTTCTCAAAGTTCAAACTTTGGTTTGAATCAAGTTGATCAAAACTTTATTGAGAAGGTGGATCACAAGTGAAAAATGAGTTAACTGTGGAAATGACTCCAGCTGCAAATGTTTATATTTACATTAAACTTCAGAATCAGGGGTAACGACCTATTGAATGGGTTTTGTTTATTTATATTATGGCTCTCCCAAAAACATTTAAGGTGGTTTTCCATGGAGTCACAAAGAGTCAGAGATGACTGAACATGCATGCATGCACACACACACACACACACACACACACACACACACAAAGATTGGAGCAGGCGTATCATGGAGGATTGAAAACAAAGGGATTCAGAGAGCAAACTTGCAGGCAACTGAGGTTGAGACTGAAAGCTGAGATGAACTGCTTCCCAAACATCATAGAACATGGATCTTCTCTTAGGTTGGGCACATTATACTAAGTGCACACCTTAGTCAGCTCCAGAGCTCCTTAGTGGGATTTATTTTCCCAAAACATTAATATAATACATGATTGTTAATCATAAGCTCTATGCTGTACAGTGGGTCTCTAGAACTCATTTATCTTGCATAATTGAAGCTTTGTTATTTGTTTGAGTAATTTGCCAAGAGGGTAGATCGTATGTTGTGTCCTTGCCACAAAATAAAACTAATGATGATGATGATAAAGATGGGAGGGAACTTTTAGAGGCGATGGATATGTTTATGGCATAGATTGTAGTGATGTTTTCATGGAAGTATACTTACCTCCAAACTCACCAAGTTATATATATTAAATACATCCAGCTTTCTGTAGGTCAATCATACCTTAATAGTCTAAATTTTTTTCAAATGAAGAGGTTATCTTCAAGTGAGTTTGTCAGTCTTGATATTCAGATCTCCCAAAATGATCATGTCAGGTACATGGAACAGAAATTTTAAAAGGCAAATTGAAACCAGAGACCAGAATAGTATAATAGTCCATATAACTATCTATCTATCATCTATCTATCTAGTACTTACCTTTACTGATAGCTAAAAATCCCTTATGATTATACAGTAGAACTGAGAAGTAGATTTAAGGGACTAGATCTGATAGAGTGCCTAATGAACTATGGACAGAGGTTCGTGACATTGTACAGGAGACAGGGATCAAGACCACCCCCAAGAAAAAGAAATGCAAAAAAGCAAAATGGTTGTCTGAGGAGGCCTTAAAAATAGCTGTGAAAAGAAGAGAAGTGAAAAGCAAAGGAGAAAAGGAAAGATATTCCCATTTGAATGCAGAGTTCCAAAGAATAGCAAGGAGAGATAAGAAAGCCTTCCTCAGTGATCAGTGCAAAGAAATAGAGGACAACAACAGAATGGGAAAGACTAGAGATCTTTTCAGGAAAATTAGAAATACCAAGGGAACATTTCGTGCAACGATGGGCTCGGTAAAGGACAAAAATTGTAAGGACCTAACAGAAGCAGAAGATATTAAGAAGAGGTGGCAAGAATACACAGAAGAACTGTACAAAAAGATCTTCATGACCCAGATAATCATGATGGTGTGATCACTCACCTAGAGCCAGACATCCTAGAACGTGAAGTCAAGTGGGCCTTAGGAAGCATCACTGTGAACAAAGCTAGTGGAGGTGATGCAATTCCAGTTGAGCTATTTCAAATCCTGAAAGATGATGCTGTGAAAGTGCTGCACTCAATATGCCAGCAAATTTGGAAAACTCAGCAGTGGCCACAGGACTGGAAAAGGTCAGTTTTCATTCCAATCCCAAAGAAAGGCAATCCCAAAGAATGCTCAAACTACTGCACAATTGCATGCATCACACATGCTAGTAAAGTAATGCTCAAAATTCTCCAAGCGAGGCTTCAACAATACGTGAACTGTGAACTTCCAGATGTTCAAGGTGGTTTTAGAAAAGGCAGAGGAACCAGAGATCAAATTGCCAACATCCGCTGGATCATCAAAAAAGCAAGAGAGTTCCAGAAGAACATCTATTTCTGCTTTATTGACTATGCCAAAGCCTTTGACTGTGTGGATCACAATAAACTGTGGAAAATTCTGAAAGAGGTGGGAATACCAGACCACCTGACCTGCCTCTTGAGAAACCTGTATGCAGGTCAGGAAGCAACCGTTAGAGCTGGACATGGACCAACGGACTGGTTCCAAATAGGAAAAGGAGTACGTCAAGGCTGTATATTGTCACCCTGCTTATTTCACTTATATGCAGAGAACATCATGAGAAACACTGGGCTGGAAGAAGCACAGGCTGGAATCAAGATTGCCAGGAGAAATATCAATAACCTCAGATATGCAGACGACACCACCCTTATGGCAGAAAGTGAAGAGGAACTAAAAAGCCTCTTGATGAAAGTGAAAGAGGGGAGTGAAAAAGTTGGCTTGAAACTCAACATTCAAAAAACTAAGATATGGAGAAGGAAATGGCAACCCACTGCAGTATTCTTGCCTGAGGAATGCCATGGACAGAGGAGCCTCGTGGGCTACAGTCCATCAGGTCACAAAGAGTTGGACACGACAGAGCGACTTTCACTTTTCACAACTGAAGAGTTTCACTCTCAAAAGAGGTTAAAATTTTCCTCAGAAATGGTCACCTAATTAGAACTTGCATCTTTTAAAGACATTGTGGATGGAATTCACTACAAAATGGTTAAAAGAATCCACCAAACAATATAAATCAGCAGAATAGATTGTTTAAAAGGAGCATGAATACCCAATCCCTACAGCTGCCTCAGGGACACCATCCACTGAACCCTCTGATTCAGGAGACATACAACTTCTCATTTCTGCATTTACGCAGAGCACCCTTTCCCAGGAAACCATGTCTACAAGACATTTCCATACACCATGGTTCCCTGAGTCTGTCATATCAAGTTTAACTATGCTACAATACTGAAAAGATGGAAGAAGCTCTCAATCATAATACAAACAGGCATCAGAAAAGATCGCACTTACAGAGGAAAGTGTTGACAGAGAACTGTAATCTGTTCTTCCTTCCTCAGTGACCCTGGTTAGAGCAAAACCCTGGGCAAACAACACTGAAATCTACTGACTAGGAGATAAATGAGGATATTACCGGGGTCGCTATATGCTGATTACCATTCTAGTAATGTTTTTAGCAGGGTGGATCGGGTCTGTTTAGAGTGTGATAAACCTACAATATACAAACTACAGTTGTTTTAATAAATAAAAGTCCTAAAGCCAGAACAGGACTACAAATGTGAGGACACATATTAAGCGAGAAACTCTCAAGTCTTCCTTGTGCTGACTTGTATGATACAAGTTAAACAAGTGAGAGTCCCTAATTTATTTTATATATTCCATTTTAAAAACCTAAATTCAGGAAGCAGTGTCTGACTGGTTTGGGGCCTCATAGACATTGCACATGTTGTTGCTCTTGTTTTGTATTATTTTCTAATTTTTAGTCAATCTGGTGCTGGTAAGAACTGTGTTTCCCAAGGAAACCAGAATTGAAAGAAACACATTTACCCCAATGTTCATCGCAGCACTGTTTACAATAGTTAGGACATGGAAGCAACCTAGATGTCCATCAGCAGATGAATGGATAAGAAAGCTGTGGTACATATACACCATGGAATATTACTCATCTATTAAAAAGAATGCATTGGAGTTAGTTCTAATGAGGTGGATGAAACTGGAGCCTATTATACAGAGTGAAGTAAGTCAGAAAGAAAAACACCAATACAGTATATTAATGCATATATATGGAATTTAGAAAGATGGTAACGATGACCCTATATGCGAGACAGCAAAAGAGACACAGATGTAAAGAACAGACTTTTGGACTCTGGGAGAAGGTGAGGGGTGGGATGATTTGAGAGAATAGCATTGAAACATGTATATTATCATATGTGAAACAGATCACCAGTCCAGGTTTGATGCATGAGACAGGGCGCTCAGGGCTGGTGCACTGGGATGACCCTGAGGAATGGGATGGGGAAGGAGGTGGTGGGGGGAGGTTAGGGTGGGGAACAAACACATGTACACCCATGGCTGACTCATGTGAAGGTATTTCAAGAACCACCACAATATTGTAAAGTAATTAGCCTCCAATTATAATAAATACATAAAGGAAAAAAAAAACTAAGATAATGGCATCTGGTCCCATCACTTCATGGCAAATAGATGGAGAAACAGTGGAAACAGTGGCAGACTTTATTTTGGGGGGCTCCAAAATCACTGCAGATGGTGATTGCAGCCATGAAATTAAAAGATGCTTACTCCTTGGAAGGAAAGTTATGACCAACCTAGACAGTGTATTAAAAAGCAGAGACATTACTTTGCCAAGAAAGATCCATCTAGTCAAGGCTATGGTTTTTCCAGTGGTCATGTATGGATGTGAGAGTTGAACTATAAAGAAAGCTGAGCGCCAAAGAATTGATGCTTTTGAACTGTGGTGTTGGAGAAGGCTCTTGAGAGTCCCTTGAACTGCAAGAAGATGCAACCAGTCCATCCTAAAGGAGATGAGTCCTGGGTGTTCACTGGAAGAACTGACGTTGAAGCTGAAACTCCAGTACTTTGGCCACCTCATGCAAAGAGTTGACTCACTGGAAAAGACTGTGATGCTGGGAAGGATTGAGGGTGGGAGGAGAAGGGGACGGCAGAGGATGAGATGGCTGGATGGCATCACCGACTCAATGGGCATGAGTTTGAGTAAACTCTGGGAGTTGGCGATGGACAGGGAGGCCTGGTGTGTTGCGATTCATGGGGTTGCAAAGAGTCAGACATGACTGAGCAACTGAACTGAACTGAACTGACAGCTAATGGAGACTAAGCTATAAAGTGTAACATGTGCCTTTTTGTATTGAGAAGTAAAACTTGAAAGATAGAGGAGTCCCAGAGACTTGAGATTAAAGAAGTCAATTTTGTCTTTCTTCTAAAAAAAAAAAAAAAAAAAACCTTCTGGGGGCAAGGAAACCCGTTTTTTTAAAATCTAGGTTTCTTGCAGGTAGAATTTTAGCACCATACTGCACAAATTCTAAGGGGGCTTCCCTGGGGCCTCAGTCAGTAAAGAATCTGCCTGCAATGCAGGAGACTCAGGTTCGATCCCTGGGTTGGAAAGATCCTGTGGAGAAAAAAATGGCAACCCACTCCAGTATTCTTGCTTGGAAAATCCCATGGACATTCTAAGAGAGATCGCACACTCCAAGAGGCAAGATCCAGGCCTTTTTTCCCCCCAGTTCTAGAAGGGTAACCAGTTAGCTTCTCTTCGAGCTTGGCTTGTAAAGTAACTGGCATCTACTGACGGTGACCAGCAGAATTGGAAATACCTAGCTTTCCTGATTTGAGGAAATATATAAAATTCACTTTTTCCCTTGGCCACTTTTCATATCCATGTCTTTCACAAATATAGCAGTCAACTGCAGACTTTTCCTGCGAAGAATTGCCAGTGACTTATCTTACCACTTAGATCACAGGACTTCAATGACCAAAGAACACATGCCTGGCGCTGTATCCAAGGAGAACACTTTAGAAACCATTAAATAGAGCAAACGTGGGTGGCAGAATCACTGGGCTCCTGGATTCTCCTGTCCCCTCACCACAGAGCAAGCATTGCCTTGGCGTTCTCTTTCTCAGATATAGTACCAGAGGCTACATGGGGGGCACTGGCCCCAAGATGGCAGCTCTCACAAGTAGAACTGCTGAGAAAGACTGCTGATTGATAAAGCTGACAAACTGAGGCTTTAGAATAGTGTGATCTCTTTTAAAGTCAAATCTTGGGCTTCCCAGGTGGCGCCAGTGGTAGAGAACCCGCCTGCAAATGCAGGAGACGTAAGAGACTTGGGTCCAATCCCCAGGTTGGGAAGATGCCCTGCAGGAGGGCATGGCAAAACATTCCAGTATTATTGCCTGGAGAATCCCCCTGGACAGAGGAGACTGGTGGGCTACAGTCCATAGGGTCTCAAAGAGTTGGACACAACTGAAGCTACTTAGCACAAAGTCCAATCTTGGGGAAAATTATCCTGAATTAAGGATTCCTATCTAAGAGGCAGGTGGTTAGGATTTTTCATATCTAAGGTAAACCAAAAGAGGAAAGTTCACCCATCTGGTCAGGAGAAGAGATACTAAAATAGGAAATAAGCCAAGGACAGATTAGTTATCAGCCAGTCTGGATAGGAGAAGCCCTGTTTGTAGGAAACCCCAGGACCAACTCCAGGTTTGACAATTTGCTAGAAGGACTCACAAGACTCAGCATATGGCTGCACTGACAGCTAAGACTAATTCCAGTTGGATGCAGAGTAAAATCAGCAAAGTTGCTGGAAATGAGGTCTGGAGGAAACCATGTGCAAGCCTCCCAGTGTCCTCTCCCAGAAAGTCACATAGGATGTGCTCCAGGAACCAGTGGTGGCAACACATGGAAGTGTTATCTACCAGTGAAGCTCATTAGATACTGAGCACCCAAGGGTTTTTTAACTGGGGCTAGTCATGTAAGTAGCCACCACCAGCACGAACCAAAATTCCAGACTCGAAGAAGGAAAGCAGGAGGGCAGTCTACATAAACCTTGTTGTTTTCCTGGTCCAAGGACAATGAAGCACCCTTATCATTAAGGGAAGTCTGATAATAGCACAGGGATCTGTTTACCAGTCAAGTTCCCAGATGCAAGCCAAGGCCAACCTTGAAAGCAGGCTTTTCCAAGGACACTGGTCTCAGGCCTTCTATGTAAACCCTATTTTGCACCCTATGTGTCTTAGCCAACTGATTTGTAGTAACTAAAGCCCACATAAATTAACAGGCAGTTAATCTTACCTTATGAAGTGGAACTGAAGTCTCTGTTATCGAAAGACTTCTTTGTGGATGGAATGAGTTATGATCCAGGAGACAGGACCTATCCTTTTGAGTCCCCACTGTTCCACATGGGCCAGGGTTCTGGTTTCTGTTTGTTTTTAAATGGATACATTAGGCAGTCCTAACACTTGCCCTCACTAAACACTACTTATTGTAGCAGACACGCCAGCACCCTGTGTCTCCAGTATTCGAATCTCTTTCAGGGCACCCTAGAAGAGAAAAACCTCTCTGAATCTACTTAGCTTTAAGAAATGAACTAGTCTAAAATTTTTTTCTCCAAATGTTTACCCATTATTTAATATGTAAAAAGAAATAAAAATACAGGTTAATATATTTTTTTGTTCCTTTTTAAAAAAAATTTTTACTGCAGTTGAGTTGATTTACAATGCTGTGTTAGTTTCCGCTGTACAGTAAAGTGAACCAGGTATACCTGTATCCATTCATTTTACATGCTTTTCCCATATAGGTTATTATAAGTACTGTTAGGTAGTTAGAATAGGGAAAAGGAGTCCAAAATGGCGGTGGCTAAAAGACCTGGAAGGGAAAGCCCGAGAAAATAGAACAAAGGAAGGTCCGAGGACCGGAGTGAGAACCTCAGGTAAAACAAACAACGCTCCTGCCTAAGCCCAATTTGCATAGGACAGGCCCAGGGGGAACAAAAAAACACATAAANTCTCTCTCTCTCTCTCTCTCTCTCTCTCTCTCTCTCTCTCTCTCTCTCTCTCTCTCTCTCTCTCTCTCTCTCTCTCTCTCTCTCTCTCTCTCTCTCTCTCTCTCTCTCTCTCTCTCTCTCTCTCTCTCTCTCTCTCTCTCTCTCTCTCTCTCTCTCTCTCACACGATGGGGCGCTCTTCTCTTCCTGTCTTTGGATCGAAGTGCCCTCACACCTCGAAGATGGATTTTCCTGCTATCATCTAAATAAGTAGAGCTGTGACACTGATTTATTTAAGAGCTGTAACACGGTCTATCCTCCGAGAGCTGTGACCCGCCAAGGGGCTTTAATGTCCGTCACTCCAAATCTTTGTTGTGACGAGACAAAGAACCGAGGAGCATACACTCGCCTGACAGTACTGAGTACACTTACCTGTGCTACACAGTATGTCCTTATTAGTTATCTATTTTAAATATAGTAGTATGTGTCAATCCCAGTTTATCCCTCTCCTTGCTTCCCCCCTCCAACCATAAGTTTGTCTTCCACATCTGTGACTATTTCTGTTTTATAAATAAGTTCATTCGTAGCACTTTTTTAGATTCCACGTATAAGTGACCATCATGTGATGTTTGTCTTTCTGTCTTACTTCACTTAGTATGGAAAAATAACCAGAATAATTCTAAAATATTGCAATTTAAAAAATACTGAAATAAAAAACATTGAAAATTAAATCAACTCTTTGAGGAAGATGGGGTCGCCGCTGCAGCGGAGCTCAGTGCCGCCCGCTCTTGTTCCTGACTCACCGCTGTTCGCTCTCGCCGAGGAACAAGTCGGTCAGGAAGCTGCACCGCAGCCATGGCCTTTAAAGACACCGGCAAGACTCCCGTGGAGCCAGAGGCGGCCGTTCACCGGATTAGGATCACCCTCACCAGCCGCAACGTGAAGTGTCTGGAGAAGGTGTGTGCTGACTTGATCAGAGGCGCGAAGGAAAAGAATCTCAAAGTGAAAGGACCAGTTCGGATGCCTACCAAGACTCTGAGAATAACTACAAGGAAAACTCCTTGTGGTGAAGGTTCTAAGACTTGGGATGGATTCCAAATGAGGATCCACAAGCGACTCATTGACCTGCACAGCCCTTCTGAAATTGTCAAGCAGATAACTTCCATCAGTATTGAGCCAGGAGTCGAGGTGGAAGTCACCATTGCCGATGCCTAAATCAATCTTTTTAATAAATTGATAATCAGTTGTTAAAAAAAATTAAATCAAAAATATAATTAGTAAATGTAAAAAATTAAAACAATAAAAGATTTATATAAATTGACCTGCTTAAAATAAGATAAAAGAATAAAATATGCAGTGGAAAAATGCCATTAAGGAACTAAAGATTTAAAAGAATGAGGTAGGATAATCTAAAATAAATTAAGAGTAAATCAAACAAAAAAGATCTGGATTTAAAAAATAGTAAAACATAAAAAATGAATGTAAGTTTAAAACATTTGGAACAAAGCAATAGGACTTCTTGAGCAGAGAGAGTTACAGATGCTCACTGGCCTCCCAGTTAGCCTAATCAGGTCTTGTGAGAGTCAAATTGCCCAGGCAGAATATTCCAAGGCCGATGAACAAGATATTTTATCAGCTCACATTCTCCCAGTCAGATTTCCAGGCTGTCATGTGCAGACCTGCAAAAGCTGTTAAACCTTGAGGGAATATTAAGAATATGCTAATTTTTTTTGAGTGATTAAGCCAGACAATGGGCTAAGTGCTATAAATCTGTAAGGTATCTTACTATGTAGACCTCAGAGGTTTTAGGTAGATGAAACAGAGGTGAAGTGAAATGACTTGTCCAAGGTCCTACATCTAGCAAGAGGGACAGCCCAGATTAAACACAACCTTAATGCCAAAGCCCATCACTTAAACTTTTTGCTGTATTACATGTAGCCAAACAGACTCTTTTAAATATGGCCTGATTGCTATGAAAGAACACATCAAAACAGAATACCAGACACAACAGGCTTTATTACTTTGAAAGTAGAGCATATTTCAAGGTAGGGAGTCTTAGAGACACATATATAAATTAATCATCTCTTGCTGAGTCTCAGGTGGTATGAAAAAACTAAAAAAGCCATGAATTCATACATTGGAATCTAATAAAAGATAATTAAATTCTTGAAAATTTAAAAAATTGTTTTAATGTAGCGTTGAAAAGATTAGGTGGCAAAAAAGACAAAGTTCAGGTTTGTAGTTTCCACAGCCACTTGGAACTTTTTTCTAAAGCATGTTCTGGAAAAAAAAAAAAAGCACGTTCTGTACTTAAATAATGACTCTATCGGAACACCCAAAATATTATGTGTTTTCTCTTGTTCCTGCACAAATATGCTCAGTGTTCCAAATGATGTTCTGGATAAAAATAGGCCCTGTATCCTCTTATGAGTTATGCTTTAAGGCTTCTTCTTACATATTTTTCAGTGCCACGTAAGCCAACCCTTCTGCTGGTCAGCTTACTTTCCACCTTCTTCAGAAAGCCTTTCCTTACTGTGGTTTTGGTGAACTGTCATTTTTTTGCCCCTCACTGGACTGGGGCATCCTTGGTTGAGACTGTGTGCTCTTTGTTACTTATCCTAGGTACCCCAGCTCATTGAAGGATAGGTTGGACCCCTTTATTTCACTTCACCTTTTTTCATATTTTCTCTGCTGTGCTGTGCTTAGTCCTTAAGTTGTGTCCAATTCTTTGTAACCCGGTGGAATATAGCCCACCAGGCTCTTCTGTCCATGGAATTTTCCAGGCAAGAATACTGGGGTGAGTTGCCATTTCCTACTCTGGGGGATCCTCTCACCCAGAAATTGAACCCTGGTTTTCTGCATTGGTAGGTGGATTCTTTACCACTAGCACCACCTGAGAAGTCCCTATTTTTCTCTGAGTGCTTCAGAAATTCAGAACTACGGAGATTTTATTTTCTTAGGGAGACTCTTAGTCATTAGATCTAGAAGTCTAAGTGAAATCTGGTTCAGGACAGCTTTCTGCTGAAAGAAACTTTGAAGAATCAGGAAGCTTTTGGAAAAGTTTAATGGGCCACTGTCTCTGGTGTCTTTGCTGGTCTAGCAAGAATGGAGATGGTGAGAAAGGTGTCAAAGAAAATAACCTGTATTGACCCAGAGAGATTGGAAAGTTGACTGTGTAATTAATGTTTCATTCATTTATTCAACAAAGCTCATGAGAGGCTGACAAGGAGCTACAGATATAAAGGAAAAGCCCCTGTGCTCAAGTTCACAGTCTTGGGAGGAACACAGATGCTTTAGCAACGGGCATCCAGTCTGATGACACATTTTTCCTGGGAAACACTGACAGTCCCGAGAGCAATGCAGCTCAAACTGAAGGAGAGAGTGTGGGCAGAGGAGGCTTCCCAGGGGAACAAGCGTTTGTTGAGATGGTTTTGAGGACAGCAGGAGGTGTAGAATTAATGTTGGTACTTTTTTTCCTAATTAAAAACCTGAATGTGTTCAGCTGGCAAGGAATTAGAGGCAGCAACAATGCTGAGCCCAGCAGAGCCAACCGCTGCCATGGCTGCTTCCAGCTCTCTGCCCCGACACGTCGGTCTATAGTTTTGAAACTTGAAGGTAGGCTCCAGAGAAGAGGTGGTTTGCACGACAAAGGAACTGCCTGCTCCATCTTTACTGCTTTTCACAAAGCGACAAAATCGACTCAGGGAGGGGGCAGGGTTGTGTGTAGGAGGGGATCACAGAGGGACTGCAGGAATAGAGGCATGGAAATGCCTTATCAGACGGTAACTTTCCTGACACAATTTCCTCCGCTGGCCGCTTTAAAGGATGTATATAAATTTAACATTGTGTGTGTGTGTGCTAAGTCACTGCAGTGTCTAACTGAACAGTGTCTGACTATTTGCAACCCCGTGGATTGTAGCCTGCCAGGCTCCTCTGTCCATGGGACTCTCTAGGCAAGAACATTGGAGTGGGTTGCCATGCTCTCCTCCAGGGGATCTTTTCCACCCAGGGGTCGAACCCAAGTCTCTTCTGTCTCCTTCATTGGCAAGCAGGTTCTTTATACCACTAGTGACATCTGAAAAGCCAAGATTTAACATTAAAACAATTGTAAAGTGAGATTCATATGAAACTATGATTCTAAATTCTGGCTGCATGAGAATCACCTGGGGAGTGTTTTAAAAATAGTGACACCAAGGCCTTACTTCATAGTAATTATACAAGAAAGTGGGGTATGTGGCCTGAAATTGCTTTTTTGGCCTTTAAAAATGTTAAAAAAGAAACTTCATTAATTACTGGTGTACAGTAGGGTTAAGGAATTGAGGGGAGAAAGCCAAGGTTTCCAACCATTTAACATTGCCTTTTAAGCTAAGATTTTTAGTTGTTCAGGGTGGCTTTCAAAATCAAGATTTAGATTCAGAAACAGCTAGTGCCCCTCCTTATCAGTTAACAACGATCTTGCTCAAGGTATCGTGCTGGGAACTCAAGGAAGGAAGAGAATAAAAAGAAGGGGGACAAGGGTGGGAAGGCATCTTCTCCATGCCTTCATCTATGTCTTCAAGGAGTTCACAACCCAGTTGGGGAAATTATCTAATCATGTGTTGGCTGCATTTTTTGCTTGTTTATTTTGGATTGTGAGAAATACCCAAATTTAACTAGCTTAGGACCCAAGAAGCTTGTAGAATCCAAGGACCAGCAAGTGGTTGGACTTATGCTCGAAGTGGACCCAGGATTAGAGACCAGCAGGCGCACCACCTATCTCTGCACAAATAGTATGTCTGCTGGCACTGCTCTTGTTGCAACTTCCGTCACCCAGAGAAGTGGGTGGCTTCCGTCACTGGCTCATCTCACACTCAAGCCCACAGAGAATCACGCCGAATTTAATAGGCACCAAGAAAAGGAGGGGTTAGCTTTACCTTTAGTGTTTGGGGGACACCTGAGTGGAGGTGTGTGCTATGCAGTCAGAAATGGATCAATGTCCTCGACTCAAATTCCACGACGGTGTGGTTTCTAACACATATTCTGAAGCCACTTTCACCAGGTTCCCTGGGCTGGCCCACTATCCAGAGAAAGTTTTCAAGGATTAGGAAATAAAAAAACATGCTAAGAAAAGAAAACTGACAGGGAACAGACAGGGATTGGGCACCTTATTTCTGAGATGAGGAAAATAGAAAATATTAGCTTTTCTAACCACCACTGATTGCATTGATGAGGTTGAAATAGTAGCTTCTGGTTGTCTGGTTTCCTAATCGATCTAATTTAGACTTTAAAATTACAAGGAAATTTCTTAGACTTTTCTTGTTTC